TCTAAGAAACTAGAGGTGTGAATAGGAGAACTGATAGTGGGCGTCCTCGTGTTACAGACAAAAGGGGGGATCGATATTTAGCCACTTTTGTTCGACATAATCGGAATATCAGTGTCACAGCGATAAGAACGCATTTAAGGCGAACGTACGGTAGATTCATTTCCAGGCCTACAATTCGGCGAAGGCTGGCTGCTGCGAATTTGCGATCGAGAAGGCCCTTTAAGAGTGCCTAGGCTTCCCAGAGGACACAGAGCTGACCGCTTGGAATGAAGCCGTAATCCCAGAAACTGGATTTTACTTCACTGGAGAAATGTCCTTTTTTCTGATGAGTCCCGATTTGAACTGGCAAGTGACAGCCGCCGTGTAAGAGTATGGAGAGAACCAGGACGCGCAGCACTTTTGGCCTTTCCTCAGGAAGTGGTGTTCAAGGATGGACAGTAATGTTTTGGGGGGGCATTAGGCATGGTTACCGCACTTATTTACATACCAGGGGTGCTGACGGGAAACATCTAACTCGAAAATGTTATCAGGTCAAATGTTCTACCCCGGAGAAATGAATTTGAGCCAAATATTATTTTTATGGATGACAACGCTCGCCCACGTCGCATTAGAGGGATCAAAAACGTGTTAGCTGAATCTAATATCGAGAGAATGAACTGGCCGGCAAACTCGCCGGTATGAACCCGATTGAGCACGTGTGGGATACGCTGTCAGAAGCCATATCAAGAAGACCAAAGCCACCGATAACTCTTCAAGAGCTGATTGTGGCGGCATAGGAGGAGTGAGACAATATTTGTGAAGAAAAGATAGACAATCTGATTCTCTCAATGCCAAGGCAGGTCAATGAGTGCCTCAAGAACAGAGGAGATCACACTAATTATTGATGTTCTTATTTTTACAAGCTTTTTTTTTTTTTTTTTATTTATATTTAACTTCACCTGTATGTATGTATGTATGTAATCAGCCCATTTTTGAAGAACTTCCAAACATCCTATTGACTTCAAATTTCGCATAGCGTCTTAGTTCCGATGACAATACAATAATATGGTTTCATCGGGTACCTACCTCCCCCCTAACGTGGGAGGTGGAGAGGGGGTAAAACTTTAGTTTGTCCGATTTCAACTAAAATTCGTATCTGGGGGTTTTTGAGGATGAGAATCACGAATTTTTGAGTTGAGATTACAAAAATTCAATATGGCGGATTCAAAATGGACGATTTAATGTCAAGTTTTTCTGATTACTTTCAACTGACTTCCACGTATCCGATTGACTTCAAATTTCGCATACCGTTATAGTTCCGATGACAATCCAATAATGTGATATCACTGACTGCCTACCTCACCCCTAACCTGGAGGGCGGAGAGGGGGTAAAATTTTATTTTGTTGGATTTCCACCAAAATTGGTATCTGGGGGTTTTCGAGGATGAGGATTACGAATTTTTGATCAGATTACAAAAATTCAATATGGCGGATTCAAAATGGACGATTTAATGTCCAATATGGCAAAGTGCCGCATCGATACCAGCAACTGGGAGACGACGGCAAATGATAGACCTTCATGGTGTCGAGTAGTCCACGACGGACCACAAACTTCCGAAGAACAGCGACGCAGACACGAGACCGAAAAGAGGGACAGCAGGAAGGAGCGAGAGAACAGAGGAAGTGACACACAAAGCTGCCAGAGGCTGGGTGAGCCAATACTGTGGAAAAGTGTGCGGCTCCAGAATTGGTCTATATAGCCATCAGAAAACACACAATCGACAATAAGAATAGAATAGGAGATAATCATACTCGGTATCGAGTGATCGCCTATGATAATGACATTTTGTAAATAAATCCAGTGGAATTAGGATTTACGTTATTGAACAGGGAGGATTTCCGATTCTTGGACGTGATTTTCTCAAATTATATACTATCGATCACATGTTTAACGTAGATCAATTACACTTTATTGAAAATAGTGGAGATGCGTTATTCAAAGAATTTCTCGCTGTATGCTCGCACCCCAACCACTCGATTGTCTTGAAAGTCTCGATTCACAAAACAAGGACAGACCTGTTTAGAGAGTGATGCATGTGAATGCTAATAAAGTTGTATAGTGAAAATATATGTGTTCTGAAAGTTTTTTTAGCCTTTTATTTGTGCTAATTCAGAAAATGCCCTCAGACCGTTGGAAAGCGTCTGGGTGCTAGCGACCTGTGGATGGAACTATTGAATTGAAGAAATGAGAGGGTTTCGAAAAAATGATTGAATAGTCCGTATCCCTTCATTTTGGTCCTTCGAGCCGGATTTATAAAATCTACGATCTTGGATTTTTTTGTTTCAAACCGTTTGAACAAGTTGTAAGAAGTAACCTCGGTCGTGACTCTATTGGAAAAAACTCGGAGAAAAGGTGATTTTTGTGAGCCAATTGGAAAAAATCGGAAAAAAGGTGATTTTGTTACTCGATTGGAAAAACTTATCAAAATAGGTGATTGTGTGACTCGGTTCGGAAAAAGTGATTACTTTTAGTGTCGGAAAACGAGAAAACTTGAAATTCAAAAACTCTGGAAAGACTTTCCATTACTTTAGACTTAAAAAAAACGTGCATTTTTATTGAAACATCACAAACTCGCTTGTACTCCTGGTTTGGATCTCGAAGTAAAATTGAGTCACTCAAGTTTACATAAATTTCATATTTCTTGAGTGTACCTAGTTTTTGGATCGATTCTCGTTTAAAAGCGTACTTAACTCTCTGTCTCGTTCTGGATTTAACTTGTACCGCTCTGCACTCGGTGTAGGTTGCTCATTATTATAGTTAATAGAATAAGTTATTAAATTATATTATTTGTTTTCTGATCATGAAACAGAAAATAGTAAAACAACCAAACCAGAGGAATTAGTTAAAACTATAACAATACACAAATCAAATATAACGTGAATCGAGACCTCGAGTAACAATAATAGGGTAGTTTGGCCTTAGCTCTGAATTGAACTGCGCTTGCGCATTTGTGTATATATGTTCGATATGAACAAATGTGCAAGCGCAGTTCAATTCAGAACTGATTCTGAACTAAGTGTGAACAAACCTTATATGAATAAAAACCGATATTGAAGAATATATTAAAAGAAATTATTTTTAATTAAATTCCTTTGCCTCTTATTTATTATTCTAAGAGCCAGTGATTTTTTTTTCCGTAGAAAGTTGCCGATGAACAATTCCTTGCTTAAACGATGTAGTATTATGTCCCGTGATTGAAAACCATAGTCTGGCAGCATGGAGTGGGGGAGTTTGGGTAAGTTTGGGTTAGTAGGCATAATTAATTAGTCATTGAAAAATTCAAGAAATTCGAAATAATTGCCCATGGTCAATTTTTGCGGCATATTATCCAAAAATGTGCCATTAACAAGGCAGTAATAATGCCAGACGATTTTCACGAGCTTGAAGCCTTGCCAGATGCCCAGATGAAAAGTGTCGTTAACAGAGGAATGATGACATTCAACAGTATTCCCGAAACTATACGAAGAATAAACACTCTAAGCTTTATAAAACTTGTTTGTGATGCAGAAATGTCTATGAACTCAGTACTTATCTGTTCAAATTTTGTTCTTGTTAATGTTTGCTTGGGGAACCCTACTCTTTTGTTGTCCTATGTGTACCTACTTATTGCTGATACTCCAAAATATGAATTGTTATTAATTGATTTAAATTTGGTTACTTAGAGATATGTATATGACTATATAAACGTGATATAACCTCAAATATTAAAAACATTTGTTGTGTGTATGCTGTGATGCATACGAGCTAGTACTCGGTACCATCATGTACACTGCATGTATTGTTTTGAGTTCATAAACAAAGGTATATTAAAAAACCTATATACAGTGTCATTACTTAAGTGTGCAACATATGGGATTTTTTTTTTAGTAATAGCACAATCAGAATACAAACAAGGCCAAAAGTTGGTGCATGTCTAATAATCATATCAGGTGCACTTAGAATGGTTGCAAGTCAAACAGCATACAGGGTAGCTCAAAAAATATCAAAATTGTAGAAATATTTACTTAAATAAAATAAAACTTTTGCACTTTAAGGAGAGTTTTTTTAATATGGCTATTATCATTAGTCATGTTTTAACTTGTTAAAAAAAAAATTGCGACATTTTAAAGTTGTGTTGAATATCATTGCAACAAACATGAATATTGTGATTCCATAAAAAATTAAAAATCTAAGTTAATTTTAGAAATATGCTTGAATTTGAACAAAGTTATATAAAATTGAATTGATTTTAATTAATTTATGAAAGTATTAAGGGCGGAAATAAAAAATAAAAAAAAATATAGAAATTATAGATTTTTTTCGAAAAAAAAAAATTTTTTTTTAGGAGGCTATGTTTTGGTATTTAGGCATAACTTTTAATTCCAAACAACTTTTCTCTATAACATTTTGCTGAATTTTCCAAAATAAGGGTACTTCACAGTATAATTTTGATAATTGTTTGACCTACCCTGTATGCTGTTTGACTTGCAACCATTCTAAGTGCACCTAATATGATTATCAGACATGCACCAACTTTTGGCCTTGTTTGTATTTGGGTTGTGCTATTACTAAAAAAAATTCCCATATTATTATGTTGCACACTGAAAAAATCACACTGTATATGAGATGAATTTCCTTCAAGTATCCGCTAAATCAATCTCTCTTAGAAAAAAATCTATGCTATTTCTGCTATACTACAGAATTCAGGAAAGAAAATATCTGTGCTCACAGCATCAATTTCATTGCGGGGCCCATGGATAGGACGCCCTATTGTTCCAAAAATAAGAATAAAACTCATGTTATGATTATTGCTATCCATGTTGGATAGGTTGAAGGGTTGATTTTAGATGGACTTTCATCCAGAACGCTGAAAACTGCTAGCCGCATATCAATTACTATATATTTGTGAATTCAAAATTGGTAGAAACTCTCAAAACTGCCTGATTTGTAAAAATAGTTAATATTATGATCAAATATGTACCTCATCCTCAGTCGAGCCTTCCGCTGATGCAATTGCTATATTGGCAAATTTTGCATGTAGTGCATGGATGTCTGTATCATCTATTGGAGGTCTATCTCCAATTGGCTCCGGGTTGTTAGGTTCGGCTACATCTAGCTGCAACAGGTATAAGAGAATAAAGGATATGTCGAAAACGACCACCTATAATAACAAGATTGTTATTATTATATAAGGGATCTCTTTTACTACCAAACTGGATAATAGATATAAGTCAAGCTATAAATAATGTTAATTATGATAAAATATGTACCTCGTTAGACGAGGGTGATGTTATATTGAAAAATTATTCTTTTTCATCGTTTTAATAGCTTTGATGCTGTCAATTTGTCAGCTCGCCAAGCACACCGACTGCTTGGATCAGGAGAGGTTTTTGTGATCTGACTGATGATGATTTTAATATTAAATATGAGACAATGCACTGCACTGTTACTTTTGACAGTAAGTAGATATATCTGGTTTCAGCAATTGATCTAAACAAATCCTAGATGGTTAGATCAATCGCTGAAACTAGATATAACTACTTTCTGTCAAAAGAAACACCGTTTTCACAAGTCTAGCAGACTCTTGCCGCCATTTGGACAATGACCACGTGTGAATTTTCTTTTTCTCTGGGAATCTAAGCCGGCCTAGTCAGAAAGTTCCAACAAATCCAAAGATGGCGTATACAAGGTGCCCCCTAATCAATCGCCCAGTGAATGTGTAGTCTCCTTTGAATTTCGCGATTTAATAAAGGAAGGTATTTAATTTGTTTATTTTGTAAAACCGATCATACAGTACTTAAGTGGCATCATCTCAAAAGCATGTGGTTTGGGGACACCTTATAAACAAGTAAAAATTCGTCCAAAATGTTAGCAAGTAAAAATAATTATTCTTTTAGGACCTGTTGATGGTAGCAAATATCAAGAAATTGAGGAAACAATAATTGTTCTATTGTTGGTTTACAAATTATGACGTAACTTTCTGAAAAAATGGATGACGGAAAAAACCTCGAAATTGTTTTTTGGAATTACATTGCAGAAGTGATAATAAAGACTTCAAAGTAAGTCAAAATTTATTTTCCGTCCTTGACAGCTTGACACTTTCTTTTCTGTAATAAATGGCAAAATTATGCAAAACTTGACATTTCAAGCATAAAGTATACTCGCACACCCTGTGTGTTTTGTGTTAAGCTTTAGCGGATCCTAAAATTTACGGCTAAAACTTGTTCACGGTGGGTTTGAAGCTCTAGGTGTCATTATAACACTAAATTTGCATTGTTTTAAGAAGAAATCGAAAAACGTTTCGAGTGATTCAGGTATGCCTAGAAAAAATAAATAAAAATAATTGTAGTAATGGGGTGGCAACAATTTTTTTTAAATTTCTACCGCACTTCCTATATCACCCTGTATAAAAAAAAACCACTCAAATTCTATATTTCTTTGTGTAAAGCAGATGATTAACAAGGAATCGCTTCCAAAAATGGTGAAAACGGCATATTTTTCCGTTAATTTATTGAAAAGTTGTCGCGTCTCAAAAATTGGTGAAATTTATGCTTGGAACGAACCTATTGTTGAGTAGTTTATATGGATCCCCAACAGCACTATTACGAAGTTCTCGCAACATCACCCAGTCGAAACGTAAATGAAGTGAGCGATACAGTAACTAACCCAAAATTCGACGTATTCGTATAACCAGCCAAAAGAACAACTAAATAAAATGCTGGACAAATAGAGCGGAACAAGCGAATTTTTAGTTTAACTTTGGAACCCAATATTACGCGAACTAAAGAGGATATCAGTGAGTGATTTGAGTAATTTAGGAGTTAATTTTCGCAAACCACTAATGGATATCTTTTTTAGTTCGCGTAATATTGGAATTTGAAGTTACCTAACCTAAAAATTCGCTTGTTCCGCTTCATTTGTCCAGCAGTTTAGTTAGACACTTGGGAGCTAGCGAACAACAGAGAACACGCCAGCTGCTAGGAAATGAAGCCATGGTGGACGGAGAACCATACAAATTTTTGCAGTGTTTACAATATTTGGCCGGTATTGCCGTTCCAGAAAGTATGATGCAGAATTTGTGATTAAGAAGACTTCCTGTCAATCTCCAGACCATAATGAACACCAAGCTGCAACGGCTTCACGACATCACTTCAGTTGCACCATCAGGTACAGTCAACCCGAATTATTACTGCGGCGCTAATTATTTTTCCAAATTGCTGATTTAGAAAGTAGCGATGAATTTCGAAGCAACCTATCCCATTCCCGAATTGAATACGTCGTCATAGAGCAGGCGCTACAAGTAGTTGAGTGTGCAAAATGTGAGGACCGGCAAAAATGCTCAAATTCGTATTCCTGTGATCCTAAAGAATGGAAAAGTACATCTTGCCGGCAGCTGGAGTGGTCCCTAACTCTCCTGCTATCCCCCAATTGAAGATATCACAATTTCAAGTCATTTTACAATAATCCTATTGATTGTACCTAAGGCTTTCTTCTCAAGCACTCAAAATAAATTACCTACCACTTGTTGGATATCTTTGCAATTCTGCTCCAGAATATACACAGGTAAAAGAAGACTGCGAGATGTACAGGGTCATCCAACGACGACTGAACAGGGGCTTATTTTTGACCTTTCCTGTTCCTGTAGTTTAGAAAAAATTCAAAATAGCCAATTGGCATATTTTTTTTCTGGAGAATTCAAAAATGGTACCAAAAATCATTTGAACTAAAAACCAAAGAGTTATGCCATGGATGAACTGTTTTTCAAATGGAACACCCTGTTTATTATATAATTTCTGGAAAAGTCGCATTTTTAACGTCTATATTCCTTTGAAAAGATTTGATATTCCGATAGCGATTTTAATTTAATTTTAATGTATTATCCTTAATAATTTTAGCTTCACCTGTTCAATACATCCGTGATGGCGACAAAATAGGTCAAATTTTTTTTTACTTCGAAATAAAAGCTGATCATACCTCTATAACCTTAGGCCAGGATAGAGAGGTTGAACCTCGCAAACTCGACACAAGTTTTGTTTTATCTTTTTTCTGGCAGGACAAGGGCTGCTTATTATGGGTCTAACTTTTGCCACAAAATTTCACCCTGGAACATCCCCTTTCATCCCCCTAAAGGTTGTTTTTTGTCACCTACCCTTTAATCGGGGTGGTGCTCCAAAGTTGAATGACCTTGAAAAAAGATGTTTTGGAAATTATTTTTTTTTTATTGAATAGTAAAGCGAATCTACCACAAACCATATAGCAAATACTCATAAATAATCGGCCGATTTTTTGGTATATGTTTTATTTAAAAACAGGTATACGTTTAAGATATACAGGGTGTTGAAATTGAAACAACCCCCTTTCATATCATCTGAAGGACTAATGCTAGGTTGTTCAAAATTTCAGGAATTATTGATGTTGGAATGATATTGAAAAATTCGTATAATGCACCCCGATTTTCTATGTGGAACCACCCCAAAAAAAAATAAAATTTGAAAAAAAATTCCTTTTTTTCATTCTCTCGCACACAATGGTTCAAATATCATTTTGTGCACACTTCCAACACACATGCATGGACACCAAAAGCATTTTCTAGTACAACCCCTCTAGATTTCAGTACTGCTATGGTGAAATTTACCTTCCTGTCTAATTCAGATAGCTATGTTAGGAATCGGTTTACCAATGTTGGGAATTGCTAACACCAATGTTAGTAATCGATGTTGACCGATGTTAGGAATGTTGAGTACTTCGATAATTAAAACTCGGTTATTGAATAAAAATGCTTCGTTTATTAAAATTCTCGTTGAGGGGGGACACTTAGTTACAAAAATTGAGAGGCAACCCGACTATTCAGAGCGAAGCTTGAAATCTGAATGTTATATTTTCAGCATGAAGATGGAAGTCTGAATGTCCTTCTCTCCAACTATCTTCCACCCAGGAAGACCAGTTTGGAGCTTTCGAAAGCAGGGAATTTTACAATTTCCTAAAACTACCTAATCCTTTTTACAAAGTTTATGAATGTGCTAAAATCTATTTATTAGGTACTATATTACCTACTTAGAAAGTTTGTACAAGTGTGGACCATGACGTAACCTAAGGTACTTAGGGTCCGGACAATAAAAGAAGGTCGGTATGATAATATTGGGCCGACAAAGACATCGTCGGCCTCTCTGTAAAATAGATTGGTTACAATAAAACAAATTAGAAATATAAGAATAATAAAATGTTAATACAATTATTGCTGTGTTATAATATTGGGATTACAACAGCTATTTGAAAAATTTAAATAATTAATTACATCATTTTATATTATTTGTTTATATGCAATTTTTCGTAATGGTTTTATCGACGAACAGTATTGTCGTTTATTACACGTTTTCCATAAATTATATTATTAACATGGGATATTAACCTTTAATAAATGTATTTCATAAACACTTTTTTTAATCCTGTAGCTCAATTATCCTGCATTGCCGATATAAGTTTTAGGTACCGACCTATATTATAAATAGATGTAGGTACGGGTACGAGGACCTAATAAAGACAAAATAGCAATTACTTTAGCTCTCTAATTTATAAATATTAATAGAATTATCTCAGCTGTCATCACGTCATCAATCAGTTTACTTTTTAGTATTTATTTGATTTTTCGTAAATGTTTTATATATGATTTCACGTTTCCAACTCGTCCTCGAGATTCGTCTATGGAAACAAACGCACGTTCGGCACGTTCCGGATGTACGATCATAGACAACAAATCGAAGCACTAGACGCAGGGCCGATCCTAGGGTATCGACCGCCCACGTGCAAAGAACAATTGCGCCGCCCCATAGAGATATGGCACCCTTACGTAGGTGCCGGTGGTGGTAGCTCGCCGCAGACGCCGCCGGAGGCAGACATTTTTTTTGAGTGCCACGCCCAAAAGTGTTCATTTCGAGCCTCAAAATGAAAGTTTTTGAGCGTTTAGAGTTAAAAAAAAAAACTTGTTTGGAACAACATATCAACATATTTGTTTTCTATGAGTTGTTTGAATGCGGGTGAGTGGTGATCAATAATGACAAACACTTAATCCTAAACTAAGTAGGGCCTGGCTTCGGCCTAGGTACGAAAGTGAGAAAT